CATTAACCTTTCTATCGTGAATAAAGATGGGCTGATTTACGCATGGCATATGCCTTGCTGGTTAGACTCTCGTGCGAATGACATGTTTCTGAGTTCTTGAACCATATCAGACCTCCCAGTGGCATTTGGGACTTGAAGAAAGACAAAGGCCTTAGGTGTGGTTTCTCTTAAAATCTTATTTGTCATTAATTTAATCTCCTGAGATTTTATTGCCATTATCTCGAGAATCAGATGACATGCCGACAGTTACAGCTTTCAAGCCGTCCCCTCAGATTTTATTATTTCAAAAACAGATGACACGTGTATTTTTTATTGAGTAACTTTTTTTTTGACAGTTTAAATTTTAATCTCTTAATTTAAATTTACTTTTCAGAAGAGTAGGGCTCGTTTTGGGGAATGATGTGATAAAGGAGATGTTTGGAGCAAAATTATAATTTTCAAAAGGATTAATTAATCCGTAAATCCTTATAGTTTCAATAAATTTTGAATCAGGTTTCTATAGTTTTTTTTCTTTTTATCAGGTCTTTATACTTTTTTTTTAATTAGGTCATTGTATTTATTTTTCTTTTAATTAAGTCCTTATAATTTCACTAAATTTTTAATCAGGTTCATGTAGTTTTAAATTTTATTTATTAATTAAATATAAGCTTAATTAAATAGATTAATACTGAAATATAAAATATTAATAATTAAATTAAATTAATAATTATGTAATAAAAAAGTAATAGAATTAATTAATTCAGGAAAATTTTTTAGAACAATTAATTTTTTTGCTGAAAAAATTAAAATCATTATAATAATTCAATATATTTAGAATATTATTGTTTATAAACTAATATTAAATAATATATACTGTTTTATGTTTATATAATAGTACGATTAGAATTTATAAAATAAAGAATAAAAAATTTAGGGACTTAATTAAAAATAAGGTGAACTTATAAGTACTTGATAAAAAGAAAAATAAATACAATGACCTAATTAAAAACAAGTAAAAGTATAAGGACTTGATAAAAAGAAAAAAAACTATAAGGACCTGATTCAAAATTAGTTAAAACTATAAGGAGTTGTGGATTAATTATCTCTTTTCAGAATAATTTTATATTACAATATACAAAGTAAGTATGTGGGAGTAGTTTTATTTCAAGTTACATGAAAGTATTTTTTTTAAAAAATATTTTTTATGATTAACAAACACTGCCCAAATCAAATACCGAGATTACTGTGATTGATTGAAAACACGTTAAATGAGCAAACAAGATATAAGGTGAGGAATTGAGGATCAAGTTATCGTTTGTAGTGGAATAGAAGTGGAGAAACATATAATTTTACATAAACATGGTTTTTTTTAAAATTGATTTTGATGGAAATTGAAGCTTAGTCAGTCATGATTTTTAACATATATTTATTACGTTTGACCCCTGACGTATATTTTCACCCGGATAAGTTCGAGGACCTCGCCCCCATAATCTTAAAAAAGAAGAAGAAGAAGAAGCGGCAAGCGAACATGGGACGGGGGATGGTCCAACAAAAACAGGAACCAGTAATCCTGTACTTTGTTCGGGGCACGTTGCCACAGAACATGGGGGCATTGATGCCATTCCATTGTGCGGAATATTCCCGGTTATACCATCCTAATTTATTTCTCTGGGAATTTATTTATAGGTATCAGATAACAAATTTAAATATATATATACTCTTTCAGTTCTTAATATATAACTTAATTATTAAGTTGATTTTGATCCTAAATATAAGACCTATTTTTCATATTTATCAATTTTTTTTAAATTATTCCTATAGATACTCCCTCAACTATAATGAGGTAGAAGAGGGAATGAGGATATTAAGAAAGATGATCATGATGTTTTAAAAAAAATATGACATATTTTTTATAATTAATTAACTTACCTAATTTTTGTAATCTAATTAAATTAATTAAATAGATCTTATATTAAGAACAATAGAAGTATATTTTAATTTCATTAAGCACTACTAACATTTTAAGAAACTTAATACATTTACAGATAAAACTACGTTATTTACAAGCCAGATTTAACAATTTAGTGCTTAGAAGTCAAGTCTTTGTATTTAAAATTGAGTAAATATCAACATTTTTTAGACCTGATAGTATTAAATGAAATTCGGAAAACTTGTGTGTATTTGATTTTTTTTCACATAATAGCTACAGATAATTCCTCCCTGTCCTTTTTTTTTTAAATCCCTGATTTATTTAAGTAAATGTACTTGTGAAAAGATCATAGATACCCGCGGCTGCAAATCACTCATTCATCAAGGGCAGTGACTTTATGGTTATTCTAGACTTCTTGTAACCAAAAACAAAAAAGGAAAAGGTTAAGTCAATTTCATCCCTAGTTCAAAAATTCACCGTGCTCTTATAATTTTAACTATTTTTTTTGGGGGGGGGAGAGCAACCCCTCAATAAATCAAAGTCAGCACTAATGTTGTCACGAAATATCGAGGCAGTAAATTTAGAAACGAAGGGTTGTTGTTCCTAATGATTGATATGAAGTATGAATTGAACCATATTCGTGATCACTATTTGCTCGCTAATCTGATGCAAGATTATGCATATTTATAGCTGACAATTTATATAATAATTTTTTCATATTTTATTGAATAAGTAGCGCGATGTATAGTTAATATATTAAATTTATTTATTCTTTAATTTGGAAATTCAATTCCATGCTTTTGTTTGAAAGCAGCATAGAATCTATATATAATTATTCATGAATACCATTACAAATTAAGATATTATTCAAATATATATTTTAATTAGTGACCATTTCTAAATTTTGAAACAGGACAAGTGTAAAAGGGATGTGGAGCGTGACGAAGCTAAACTGGGTTGACCAACTCATAACTGTTCCTGGGCAATCTGGTCCCAGGTAGCGATAAAATGCCAATAGTAGTTTGAGCCACTTTTGTTGGCATCTTAAAACTAGCCTCCAACTGGCTCCAACTCATGAACTATGAACAAACACTTCCTCGTTCCTTGTACCTAGCCAATGTGTTTCATCATCCTCTTCCCACAGTCAACCCTACTTTCTCGTTACTATATCCTTTATTTCTGTTCTCTTTTTTTTTTTCCTCCTGATTTAAACGCGTCATGTCGAATCCCCGGCGAGTTCCCTCCTTAAAAGCTGTCGTGCGTTGAGCATTCGTGAAAGTTTTCATCATTTAGAATAATTTAGCGATGACGAGAAATACGGGTTGGAATAGTATATCTTCGCAACAGGACGCGGGGGAAAAAAGTCATTTTCAGAGCAATAAAGGGTGTAGCTTGGGCTATGGCCTCAGAATAAATTCCACCGGGTCACTTGTGCCTTCTCATAAAATTCCCAACACAACTAAGAACATTTCTCCCTACCCAAATACCTGCCGCCTTAATTATTTAATCTTTCCCTCACTCCAACTTCACGTAAAAATTAATTTTACGATATATATAAAACAATTTATTTTGATTTGCGTGAAAGAAAAAAACTGAACACCTCCTTAATCTGACTGTCCACATTAAAATATTCCAACGTTAATTGATCATTTTTAACGATTTTTTTAATAAAAAAGAGAGTGTCGGTGCAGGGTGCCAGTGCCCCCCATCACAGTGCCTCGGATGGGTCAGTGTCCCTGAATCTTTTTCTTGAAGAGATTGAATCATAAATTAGACTCGTGTGCGTGTGGGAACATGAATGCTCCGATTGGACAAACCATGGTGGCCCTTTTGAAGATCCTATTATGATTGTGATTATTTATAGATTAACAGGTGCTTCCACTGTTAAAAGATAGGCCTCGGCCCCCCGTTTTTTAATTTGCACCTAACCCCCTTTTAATTACACAATCACAGCTCACCGAGCAAATGGCCCTACCCTGCCTTGTCCTGTTCCCTTTCATACGTGATACGTCGCCCTCCTCGTTTCTTTTGTGGATTTTGTTAGTTTTCGACTCTCATTTCGCCTGTGACGCTAATTGCAGCATTATTACCCGATAGCCTCGTATCAGATGATGAATTATCCGCGTCTGTGTTATTGACTTGTAGTGGGCAAAGTGAAGATGAAGCTTTTTTTCGAAACAATAAAATAAAGAGTAATCATTGGAAGGAGCTGTCATCCACGACCGTCGAAAAGCATAAATAAAAGTATAAAACTCTTATGTGCTCCGTTTTTATATGCCCCTGTTCCACCCACGTGTCATCTCACTGACGCCAATCCAGTTTTCATTGACCGCATTTTAGTTGTTACTTGTCTCTGTTTTTTTTGTTTTTTTTGGGTTTGAACAATAATATTAGAATCTTTTCATTCGTATTGTTTTTGGATGACCACTAATAATATTATCTCTGATTTTAATTATAAAATTTTATTTATAAATAATGAACGATCTTTTATAATCAGGTTCGAAGTTAATAGTAGTTTGAGAGAGGAGTAGTACATAACAAAACTTTAGGTGGCCTGGTTTAAGAGCGTTATTAACAGGCCATAAGTTACGCCACCGACAAAATTCATTCCGTATCATCTATTCTGATTTCCATCCCACTGTGGCTGCTCGTTAGTTACTACGTCCTATTCAGTGTTCCACGTTTGTGCACAAAGATTCTACCCTGTCATCACCCAGTTCCATTTCTACGCTTCCCCTTTATTCTTAATATAAGATTAATTTGTATAAATATAAAAATTATAAATTTTGAAAATAAAATGAAAAGAAAATGTTATATCTGGATCCAAAATGAATTTTTAACTATTTTTTGCATGTAGGATAAGTTGAAATACAACTTATAATCTATGACCAAACATAATTTTTTCCCCCTTTTCCTGTATTCATAGTCTTAATTTTTTATTGTACTAATCCAATTTTAAATATAAAATTTATTTTGTATTGTAATTTGTACTACAAAATAATATAACATAATGCGTGACATCATGGGTGATCATATATCATATGGCATTTAATTTTCCAAGTACCCACATCAACCCCTCATTCTTGTTCACATGCCTCATTTACAAGGATGGAACTCGGGTTTAGTTTTAAAGGAGGTTAAGATTAAAAAAATAGTACATAATACAGGGTGGATAAATTTTAAAAGGCTGTACTATGTCAATCCCTTTTTTTTTTCCAAACATACACGGGAGGAAAGACAAAGTTTAGGAATTGAAAATTTCGAAAATGATAAACTAAGGGTGTGTTTGGATGAAACAACCGTGGTTTGAAAAAGTGATTCTGGAGAATAGATTCTGGGGAAAATAGATTTTGTGAAGAATAGATTTTTTGATTGAAGTGAGAGTGTTTGGATAGTTGTTATCAGAAGCACTTTTTATATATACAAATTACTAAAAAAAGACATAAGTTAATATGTATAATTACAGAAAAATAGATTTTATGATATATTTTAATTTGAAGGAATAGAATTGTTAATAATATGTTTTTTACCAACATAATTATAATACATAAGATAATATAATTAATAAATAATTAATGTGTATATATATTTATAAAATATAAAGATTAAATATATTTTATAAAAAATATGTTTATAAAAAAAATAACAAGATACATATCATATAGGCCCTCACACTCTCTCTTTTTCTCCAAAAGCAAAAAATTTTACTTTTCCAAAACCATGGTTTTGGAGTCAAAACCTGGTTTTGACCCAAAACCATGGTTTTGGTTTTTGGAGGGGGTGTTTGGGTAGATTATTCCCCAAACCATGGTTTGGGTCCCCAAACCATGGTTTGGGATGTCACCCAAACACTCCCTAAATTAGCTGGTGCCTGTGGAAGAAGAATAAAAAGCGGCCAATGTTGAAAAAAAGGGGCGAAACTCGTTTAAAAAAAATCAAAACAGCGCAATCATAGTGTTGTGAACTGGAATTGATGTAATGAGTGGGACAACCGTATGATTATTAATTGAGGGAATTCATTATATATTAATTAAAGTGAATATTGCCATTAAAAATACAAAACACAGAAATGAAATGTAGACGCGACCGATGAGGTGGGCGACATAGCGGTAATCGCGCACAACTTGGACGGCCGTGGTGCCCAACCTGTTTCGCCATGGTGACCCAGGACCACTTTTCTCACACGTGTCATCTCACACGCGTAGCACGGGTTCACACGTGCGAACTCATGATCTCAGCACGCCGCCTCGTCCCTCTTCTCTTCCCACGCAAGCACGCAGGATAGCTTCATCCGCCTCCTGCTACTCTCCTACTTCTGCGAATCTGGGATCAGCAAAATCTCCAGTTTACCCCTGGGTTTGAATTTTGAAGCGGCGCCACACTTTTGTCACGAGACTATGACCCTGATTCAGTGCCAGCGGTGATTGGTTCCCATACGCCTGATCCGCATGGACTTCCGTGCTCACTAATACTGCTCTTTACATCCTTTACTGATCACAGCGATGGTTTTTAATTGGTTACACTGGCGTACACCTTAGCACTTGGTGATCCGCCCCCACGCTCGACTAACCTTCTGCTTTGTGATCTTCCCAAATTAGCCCTCCAGGGATTTCCTCTACTTTTCACTGTTGAAAGGCTTAAAGCTGTCGGCGACATTATTGACCCAAAACACAAAACTAGCTGTCGAGTATTCCGCGAAATCGAGTTTATAAAGTAGAGCCAAATTTTTGTACATGTCTAAATCAGTAAATTGATCTGCTCCAATACGAGCTTGTTATAGCAGGGGGACTCGAGCACTGGGCGCGTGAATTTGTTGACGGAACGCGGAAGGGGAAAATTTTAAATTTTATAAATCCAGCGGCCCATTGTTACACTTCAAAAGGAAATTTTAACTGATTGAAAGGTAGATTGCGATTTCTGAGATGATTTAAGTTGACCAATAATGGATAACTAAAAGTATTCTGTGGCTGTGGTAAATTTTGTTAATACCATTTTGGTATGGAATAAATAATAAGTGTGATTAATAAATCTTCTGGCTAATCGTGCATTATTCTATGTTATAAAATGAAATTAAACCCGAAACCCGATTCCGGTTTTGTCGGTGGGCTGCTCTGTGCCTGGCTGTTTTTATGGTAATCAGTTTATAGATTAATAGATTACCGATTATTTCAGCTCAAAAAAATAGATTGCCCAATTATTAATGATTAATATAAAAATTTATCCACCTATATTTATATACTAGTACTTTATATAGTATAAAATCTGACAAGTTTTTTATCGATACAGTGATTTATTTTTTAATGCTATATGAGGAATATAATTTTTAAAACTTCTTTTTTGGGATTCTTCCTATAAATAAATTATGGAGTAACCAATTAATTAATTATTCTAAAAAAGGTGTGTTTTGGATGACTTCAAACGTGGTTTGGAAAAGTGATTCTGGAGAATAGATTCTGTGGAGAATAGATTCTGTGGAGAATAGATTCTGAGAAAAAGTGATTCTGAGAAGTGAGAGTGTTTGGATAGTTATTACCAGAAGTGCTTTTTACATGTGAAATACCAAAAGGGTATAAGTTAATATGATAATTATATAAGGGATAGATTTTATGATTTATTTTGATTTGAAGAAATAAAATTGTTAATGAAATAATTTTACTAACATAATTAATAATATATAAGATAATATAATTAATACATAATAATATGTGTACATATATTTATAAAACATAATATTAAATGTTTATAGAAAAATGATTTTTTTTTAGAACAGAAAATATAATTTGTTTAAAGATTGTAAACGTGAAATCCCATAACATTTTTTCACAACTACTTTTTGTAATAACATACTACATGTATAATAACCTCTGATGTTTAATACAATTATTAATTAATTGTCACCACACATAATATTCATAATATAATAATGTGAAAAAAATATTTTTAGAGAAGATGAATTATTTTGTTGCAAAATAGAATAAACAAACGTCTTAAAATAATTTATTAATTATTCAAAGTAAGTAATAATTAGCTTGAGAATATAAGGCATAATATTAATAAGAGAAATATAAATAAAGAAGTGTCATAATCATTAAGATGATGCATCGATACAAAGCATTTGTAATAGGTTTTTTTTTAACTACATATTACAATCTATGATAAAAGGAAATAAATAAGACATGACTACTATCCTCGTATTGAATTAACAAGTTCGTCTCTTATGCTGTCACGAACCTGAGCCATGTAAGATGAAGATTGAATTGATGAATGTATACGTGAAAATCTAACCCCATCATCATCATCTTCTACATAAGTACCTTCTTCTTCCAACTGAACGAATCCAGGATCAGTAATAGATGTCGTTCTAATAAAATTATGTATAGCCATCGTTGCACAAACGATTTTAACTTGTGTTTCAAAATCATAAGATGGCATGTTTTGTAAGATTGCGAACTTTTTTTTCCAAACTCCGAAAGTTCTTTCAATTGTACTCCTTAAACTTGAATGGAAATAATTAAAGATCTCATTGTCATTTTCAAACCCAGATGTCCTTCGAAAATCAGGCAAATGGTAACGCTCCCGTCTGTATGGGCCGAGATATCCATTCGGTGTTGGGTATCCAGCATCCACCAAATAATATTTTCCTATATAAAAAATGAAATTATTGTAAATTATATTTCTATTGTTAAGCTAAATATAAAAAAATATAGGAAATAAAAAAATACCTTCAGGTGGATGGGGAAAGTTCATTGAAGGAGTTGTGAGGGCATGATCAAATATCCGAGCATCATGTGCGCTACCTTCCCATCCGGCCAAGACAAAAGTAAAACACATGTCCCAATCACAAACCGCCATGACATTTTGTGACACTGTTCCTTTCCTAGAGATAAATTTAGTTTGATCTGTTGCACTGACAACGCAGGAAACATGTGTGCCATCAATTGCTCCAATAGCATGTTTAAAAAAAGGCCAGTATTTACCAAACCGAATTTTTGTATGAACATGCCGGAATGTTGGATCTTTTGGTTTGATATTAGACATGGCAAGTCTACAGCATGCCATTAGGACATTATGAAATGTCTGCTAATTGTCTCCCCTGAATGTTGAAATCTTTCTTGCTGCATTCTGCTACTAAGTGCATGCCCAACGGTATGTAAAAACATTGCAACTGATTCATGTATCCCTATATTTTTAGTTTCTTTTAGACCATGTTGTTGCAATTGTTCCACCAGACTTAAGAACACCCGTTCCATCCTAAACATGTTATAACAACGACTGGAGTTGCCATCTAAAACATCCCTTACCCATATGCAGCCTGTATAAGCACTTGTATGCCGAGGCTCCTTACACAAGTTCAAAGTAGCGTATGCACCAACCAATGCTGCAACTTTGTTAACCCTTTTTTTTCCGTCCCTTAGCATGCTCTTCCACATGTTTAATTTCATCATCCATATTCGTTTTATCCTGTGCACATACACATAAAGTTTAAATTCCTACGTAGAAATTACGAAACATTTATAAAAGTTACAGAGTAGTCTGATTCATATAACAATCCACTGGTCACATAAAACATACACATATGGAACTGTCTAATATAATAAACAAGTCATAAATCCCTAGTATAATGCTCTAAAATGGGTAGAAGTTGTTCCTTCTGATCCTTCAGAGCTGCATACATTTCCCGTGCCTCCGGCCGTTCCATAAGGAGTTGTGTGCACCGTCTAAAGAAATCGGATCACTGACAACTTCAGGAATTGTTTTCAGGTGAGACAGGACTCCCCTAATTGAAATTTCATAAGCACGCGCTTCTTCTTCCAACCTTCTAGCTTCTGCTCGTGAAATGACCTCATTTCCACGCTCGGCCTCAGAAATATTTGTTTCAGCAATCTTGCTAATTGCATCCGCTATTTTCATAGAGGGAGATGCGCGTTTCTTCTTCTTCACTCTTCCTTCTGAGTGAGCTCTAGGTCGACTCTCCTCTGCTTGACCCCCAAGATACTCGTTTCCTCCCTCCTCTTTGACCCTTTAATTACTACTTCTACTATCTCCTCAATTCAGTATTGCCTCCACTACCTCCACTATTATCATTGAAGTTCACTGTGTTAAATTCCCCACTTATACCAGTTGGTGCGCCTAAAATTTCATCACTATCTCCGGACCCTTCTTCCAAATCTTCATTCGGTGTTCCTTCACTTGGAAGTGTCATGGAAGAAGGTGCCCATGCTTGTGGTCCAGTTGCAGCCACACTCCCAAATAGTTGAGTCAATTGATCCCTAAATTGAAGTCCTCTTTCTCTGAATTTTTCGTAGTTTGGAACTTCCTGCACATTAGACACCAATAATATCATAAAATATTCCAAAAACAGTAAATATACACAAAACGTTAACAAGTAGAGAAAATGTAAGATCAAAAGGTTCAATAATTACCCTTATTTTTCTCTCCCACCAATCATCAGTTGCACTGACAGTATTCCTTTCAGTATCCCATCCCAATCCTGTCTCACGAAGCAGCCTATCCCATGTCTGCCACTCTTTTCGTAGGGAATCATATTTATTCTTAAATTGAGCTTTTTCATATACTCTTCCAGTTTTGGCAGTAAAGTTATCAGCAAGAATATCCCAAGCTTTCTTTGTTAAGCTAGTACCTTTTCTTTCCCCTTGTTGCACAAGTTCAATGCAGAGGTCAATAAACACTTTCGTGGTTCGTAGGTCCCAGGAAGCTTTCACCGTATTCTTACCCATTATGCTATATCACAATTACAGCTCTTCAGTCATCACAGGTTAATCAACTCAAAATTAATTGAAATAACAAGTGTCATTGTTACCCAAATCAACTATGAATACCATATTAACATTTTTCTTTCTTTCATTATTATTTAAAACAAAAAGAAATTCAATCTGTATTTATAACAAGTAATTAATTTTTTTAATTCAACATAAAATGGAATTATGTTCCCATTCCTTTCATGACTAGAAAAAAATTAAATAAATTAATTTTAATTACTACAAATACAACATCCTATACTTTTATTCAAAACAGGATTACTCAAAATAAAACATAAGGATTACAAATATATGTCTCTGGAAAAACTAATCACTTGAATAGACCGAAAACCAATCCTCTGACTGAAATTAGATAAACCAAGCTACACAAATGAATCCTCGAATGAAAATCAACCCACCACTGAAGCAGAACGTCAGCAATAACTATCAACCAAGCAAAACCAGCACCCACCAAACACCCCAAGCCAGTACTGAAAAAAAAATTAACCCGGTCAGACCACAAGCCATGACAAGTTCAATGCAGAGTATATAAAACAAAATTTTAGACAGCCCGGTCATCATCAACGTTGAGTGGTCGTAAAAATTATAAGGCGGCAAACTACAAATATTAAACACAGATTTCCATTTGCTCTATTTTTACGTATGAGAGTCAGAACCAAAACAAAATTCACAGATTATCAACCAACCGAAGATACCCTATATCATGCTCAAACCAACCGGACATATTTATACACCTTTAATTTATCAGATTTTAAATACCATGATAAACAATCATAACTCAATAGCTTTGGCTGCTTCAGATTAAATACCATGATAACCGTATTTATTGCAGCAGCACATCACAGAGCATAAATCGGCCAAACAACTTGAATTTCACATAAGTTTTCAGAATCAATAGACTGATAGAGCCCATAAGCATATTACTTTTTCTGAACTTGTGAATCCGTGAAGGAAAAACACAGAAATCCGGGATCGGAAACAATGGCATCGAATCAGCAAGGCGGTGGGGCAAATAAACCCGCAAAGAGGAAGCCGGTGTTCGTCAAAGTGGATCAACTTAAGCCGGGAACTAACGGTCACACCTTGGTCGTTAAAACGAACTCAGAGACTCACCTGAATGGAGGACTGAATACGGCGACGAGAGTGAACGACGGACCAGGCAGCGGGGCCGGCGGCGGCGGCGGCGACGGCTGCAGGAGGAGCACTTGCGACTGGGCTAGTGGCGACCAAGCACGAACGAGAAGAGCGGCTCCTGAGCGCCGGAGAAAGAGCCAGGGAACACTGACCGCGGCGGAATGCTTCAGAGCGAACCTGAGCGCCGGAACTCACAACTGATAGCTACGATCTTCTTCCGCCGAGCTGCGATTTCTCTCACCGGCACCTTCAAACCATGGCTGGACGGCGACTCTTCAACACGGGCGGCGACTCGTTCTGTCAAGGAGGAAAGACCGAAGGGGGAAAGGAAGACCGTGCTTGACGATGAATGGAACTGGGGAAGAAAGCGAGAGGACGACCGAACTGGAGCTCTGGAATGGACCGACTGGAAATCTGGAATGGGAGCTTGAAGTTTCGACCGAATGAATAATTGAAGCAGAGGAAATTGGGGGCTGTTCGGTCATGTGAGGAGGGCCCCACCATCACCCTTCAATAATTGGAGCCAGAAGCAGATCGAAATGGCTTCTGGTGAAACCATGGTTTGGGGGTTCAAAACCATGGTTTCCCCCAAACCATGGTTTTAAATATCTGGAAGAGTGTTTGGGTAGCATTTTCCCCAAACCATGGTTTGGGCCCCCAAACCATGGTTTGGGGTGCTACCCAAACAGACCCTAATAAGTGAGTGCATATTTCACATTTCTAGATCTACCTTTATCCGTGCCTGCTTTGGCGTGGAGACTTTTCAGTTTTTAATGGTCCCAGTTTCTAAATTTCGCCTTTTTCGAAATTCCCCTTTTGCCCTTGTTTCACGCGCGACGGGGGCTCACCACAGAACGGAGGAAAGGCTTTTTGCCTTGCGTTTTCAGCACGCGGATCACCTT